TGGTAGATATACTGAGCATAAGATTGACAAAACTTCTGCATTTACCATTCTTTACAAAGTGGTATCATAATACTTCGATTTTATGCGCATCCGATTTCTAAACATAGCAAAAGCCATAACAATTAAATTTCTCAAACCTGATTGGTGTATACGGATGTTGCTAGTTCCCGTTGCGTCCAAAACCCTTCAGCCTCAATCAAGATACAACTACAATGATTTCCTTTCCGGTCACCTGCATAACTGTGAAGATAATCTTTGTTTGTCCTCCTATTATCGTTACATCCCGTTTTAATTTCAATTTTATGTTTTGCCCTTAGTATCATAATTTAAACATTTTGTTTTATTATTATCGTCTTTACTGTTATCCCCTAATTCATGTCTCCGACATGTATCAACTATTATTATTATTATTATTATTATCATTATTAGTCCCTTGGGTTCCTAGTGGAACATAGGACTTCACTAGCACGTCTCCAGTGAACTCTGTTCTCTGAGATCTTTTGAACCTGGTTCCACGACAGCCCACAACCTCTCATTTCCTCCTCGCACGATCTCCTCCATGTCACCCTCACCTCGGGCGTCCAACTCGTCGCTTCCCATGGGGATTCCACTCGAGGGCCTGACGCGTGATGTCCTCAGTCGGCCTTCTCAGTGCATGGCCAATCCATCTCCACTTCTTCCTGCATATTTGTTGCGTGATAGGTTCCTGGTTGGTTCGTTCCCAGAGTTCCTTGTTGCTTATTTTTTCTGGCCATCTGATCTTCAGCAGCGAGCGTAAGCAGTTGTTGATGAATGTCTGTAGTTTATTGGAAATGCCTTTCGTGACGCGCCAAGTCTCTGAACCATACAAGAGCACTGACTTGACGTTGGTGTTGAAAATCCGTATCTTGTTCCGCATGCTGAGTGCAGTGCAGAAGATCTCCACACTGGTTTCAGGCTAATGAACGCCTGTCTTGCTTTTCCGATTCTTACTTTGACATCCTCGTCTGTCCCGCCTGTAATTGAGACTGTGCTTCCTAGATAGGTGAAGGAGGCTACTTCCTTTAAGTTCCTCCCGTTGATGGTGACTGGAGTTTTGTTGTTGTTGTTGTTGGTTGGGTATCTTCATCACCTCTTGTCTTCTCTATATTCACTTGAAGTCCCATCTTAGCTGCCCTGCCTCACCTCTTCTGCCAACTTGTTAGTTTTCACCTGTAGATCTTCAAGTTTATGTGACATCAGGCACAAGTCATCGGTGAAATCCAAGTCTTCTAGGTTCTTTCCTGCAGTCCAGTGTATCCCCCTCTTCTCGCTCCCCAATGTTTGCTGCATGATCCAGTCGACCACAATCAGGATTATCATGGGGGTTAGTAGGCAACCTTGTTTCACTCCTGTCTTCACTTCAAAAGCATCACTGAATTACTTGGCATGCGGCATCTTCATATAGCCAGCTGTTGAATGAGGCGGATAAAGGTTTGCGGTACTCCGTAGTAATGAAGCAGTTTCAAAATTACCTCTCGGTCAACGCTGTCAAAGGCCTTCTCAAAGTCGATAAAGTTGAGGTAGAGAGCTGATTGCCATTCTATGCTCTGTTCTATGATGATGCGAAGCGTTGCAATTTGGTCTGCACATGATTTGTACTTCCTGAATCCAGTCAGCGTGTTCCGGTCGTAGTTTTGAATCCAGAGCATTGTTAAGCCTCTCCAGGATGATGCGGCTTAATATTTTGCTTGCTTTGGGTGGACAGGAGAGTGATTCCTCACCAGTTCTTGCAAACACTGAGGTCTCCCTTCTTCAGCAGTTTGACAAGGTAACCCTTCTTCCAATCACTAGCCAGGTACCTTCTCTTCCTTCCACACCTTCTGCAATAGTGGTGTGGTGTGAGCATGTCTGCTGTTGTCTCTGCGTCTGTTCTCAGTGCTTCTGGCGGGATCCCATCTGGTCCTGCTGCTTTCCCACATTTCAGTAGCCCTATAGCATTCAGGACTTCCACTTTTGTTGGAGGATTTATGTTCACTTGTAGTTCTGTGGCTGGGCTGCAGGTGGTATTTCTGGACAAAGTGCAGGTGGTGGTTGATTCAAGAGCTTCTTGAAGTGGTCGGCCCATCGTTTCCTCTGTTTCTCTTCTTTTGTAATTAAATTTCCTTCTTCATCTTTTATTGGTTTCATCTGTGTTGGTCTATTCCCTGATAGCAACCTGGTTATTTGATACAATGTTGTCAGGTCTCTCTTACCTGCAGCCTGTTCTGCTTCACTTGCCAGTGTTTCGTAGAAGTGTCTTTTGTCTTTCCGTGCACTCTTCCTTTCTTCTTTGTTCAGTGTTTTATACATTGTGCTCAGTTCCTCTTGTCGTTGAGCATCCTTGCACTGGTTTATCTTCTGCTTCACCATCACCATCCTCCTCTCCTCTATCAGCTTCCATGTATCCGTCGAGATCCATTCATTGTCTTCCACCTTCTTCCTTCCTAATAGGGCTGTGCAGGTTTCTTTCCACATAGCTTTCAAAGACTTCCAGTGTTCTTCCACACAGGTTTCTTCAGGGATGTTCCTCGATATCTCCCATTTTGTCTTGATGGCTGCCTTGAAGATCTCCTTTGTAGTTTCATCCTTCAGTTTCCGAGTGTTGTACTTGAACTGCGGTCTATCACCAGCTTCCTTGAAGGCTTTTAACTTGATTTGAAAGGTTCCTTGCACTAGACAGTGAGTGGTCTGAACCTACATCTGCTCCTCTTCTTAACCTTGTGTTAAGTAGACTGCGTCTCCATTTTCTTGAGATTGAGATGAAGTCGTTCTGATTTTTAGTGTGTCTATCTGGTGTCTGGTGAAATCCATGTCGCTTTATGGATATCCTTGTGCTTGAACACACTGCCTCGCCTCCAATCACCAAATCGTTGAATGCACAGAGTTCTGCAAACAATTCTCCATTCTCGTTCATCACCTCACCGAGTGCTTCTCGACCCATGGTTAGTTCTCTTCCTGTGTTGTCCCCTCCCAGTTTGGCATTCATGTCGCCCATCAGAATTTTGATATCGCCAACTGACGTCTTGTCCAGTGTTGATTGGAGTTGTCTGTAGAATTCCTTCTTTTTCTCTTGCTCTGCATTATTTGTAGGTGCATAGCATAGCGTATGATTGTGACCTTCCTTCCTTTTGAGTTGAACCTTGCTGTCATGATCCTGATCCTGGAGGAGATTGGTTCCCACTGCATGAGAGCATTCAATGCTGTTGGGGATATCATGATAGCCACTCGATAACTCAGTATGCTCGTGGTTGTCGTCTGGGTGACCGGAGTAGATTATTGATTCTCCAGTTGACAGTTTGGAGAGTCCACTCCCATTCCATCTGCTTTCGCAAATTCCAAGCACTTCAATGTGATACCTTCTCATCTCCTTTGCAATCTGGGCTGCCTTACTGGGTTCAAACATCGTGCGGACATTCCATGTCCCCACGTTTATTTCGCTTTCATCGAGAGAAGACACATCGGCCAATTGGCTTCCCGACGGCTTTCACCAACTGGCGTCATTTCGCCTCTCCGATTCCAGCGAGGAATAATTTTGTTTTTATTTTTTATATTTTGTTTGTGCTTTGAAGTTTCTTTAGCGGTTAGATTTGTTTTCCGGGGTAAGGTTGCTAGCCCTATGCCCAACCTTACCTCTTTACCCGGGCTTAGGACCGGCTAGTAACTAGTGAACTAGTTAACCAGGCGAAGTTTGTATCAACTATATTGGTAACAAATGACTATGCTGAATGATAGAAAAATTTGTAGCTCAGGATGAGGAGGGTGATGGTGGTGAAATGTCCACGACAAAATATCAAAGCTCAAAGAACAAAAAACCACCATGGCTTTGCTGAGCAATTTGTTGCAATTGTAAAACCTGACGAAAATTTACCGGAAATACGTATTGGCTCTAAACCCGGTTTTATAATTATCACGATGAGAATATTCCAAAATCTGACAGCTAGAACTTTCAAACAGTTAATTTAACAACCAATAACTTTTTTATTGTAATTTACCTTGGTTTAAAAGTTAATAAGAAGACTTTGCTGGACGAATGGTAGGAGGCGAAATGAATGGCTAAATACTCTCACTTCGCATTAAAAATGGGTAGAATACTCAGTGAGTGAATCTAAACCAATAACTTCTTGTAGTTTTATGACTCAGTCGACAGAAGTAAGGGTCGGTAAACTGGAGGTTAATATTTCAAATTTTATCGTCAGAGCTCCTTTCAACTTTGCAGTATAAATGCACTTTTAAAAGTTCTATGCATATAACATCTCAACATGACACTCCGATTATCATCTAAGTGAATAATAACATCTGTTATACCATAAAATAATACTTTTCTTATCAGACGATTCGACCCGTTGTGAATGAAATGACAACATAAACTGTACAGGCTTTGGAAAGGCTTCCTCGATGCATTACTCCATTAAAATATTACAATGCAACTTGCAGATTTCCTTTTTGCAAGTTTCGTCTTCACAATATTCACAATACACAAATTGTTTTAGTAGAACTTACTGTATTCGCTGACCTGATTGGCACTATCGAAAGCCTGACAGCTGTTCTACATGGAAGTAAAGCTTAATAGAGTTTGCAAGGAGCAAAATCCATCGCCTTCCCTCATCATCAAAACAGAACACAGAAGCTTCAAAAATAAATTCAGTATTCGAAATATTGATAATCTCTACTATACCGTCGCGCCCCCTATATTTCCAAATGAAATATGTTGATGGCTATTTTCATTTTAATAAATACAATTGTAATATCACATTGTTAAACTGAATGATACTCAGAGATTTTAGCATTTCTAAACAAGTTTTCACATACGAATATAAAGGTGATTCACATGGAAACTTCATACACGGAACAACGCTCAGTGAACCTAAATTTATTCTAAACCTAGTTACAACTAACTACAGAATGAATACTCTGTATATAAATTAGATACAGAAGTAGATCTAGTGATATTTCAAGAGGAAAACAAAATTAAAATCTTGAATAAAGCAACAACTAAGTACCTTCGTCAGCAACGACCAGCTTCACATGATGCCGCTTTTCTACACTCAGTTTGTTAAACTGCATATATAAACCAGTAGGACTATGTTTGTGCAAATTCGGCTTTGGAACTTCAACATTCGTATGACTTATATGGAATGTACTGGACGATATATTAAGGGAACCGAACACCTAAGAAATGAAAATAACCAATTTTGTATGTAAGATATATCCCTTTTACTCTGAATCCAAAGTGATCGGTACATTTTAGTCAACATTTACATTTTCCCCAAATCCATGAATGTAATATCTATGCTTGTCATGTCAAATATAAATCGCCAGGCTCTTTCAAAGCTTCATCCTCAAAGTTGACTCACTTACTATACAGTCACGTACTACAGTAGCGCCAAAGTCCAGCTACTAATTTAGAAATGAAAAGCAAGTCAAAGGTACCCGCATCATTTAAACTTCACATACTTTTCGAAGTCAGTGCATTTGAACTCTTCCAACAAAATAATAAAAGTTTGGCAACTAAAAGCTACTCAAGTTGATAAAATAATCCTCAACTCATTTCATCTAAGCTAAAAATTCATTGGTAAGTTACACACGAGATGGACTGTTTTGCGGTAGCTAAAGGTATGATTTCAAAGTATATTAGATTGCCTTACGAACTCATCTTCCTAAAGCACAAATTGCTTTGCTGTGTCGTGGGGTCACTAATACCACGTAATAGCACATCCAACCAGATATCCTTACACAAACTGCGGGTTTGTGGCAACGTAGTACCACTAGCCTTCACATAACATATGTTGCCGATAGCCTACTACGGTAACGTGTACGTGGTTGTTGAGTGCATTTTGACTTACGCAGATTAGGCTTTACCTTAGATGATGACTAGAACGCCAATTAGAATTTTTGATACAATAATTTAAAAGTTTATTATTTATCAGATAGCTTCACGATATTCTCGCAGATGGCCAAAACAAAAACAGTGGAGTGTATTTCACTTAACAGGACAATATTGTTTGAGTAAAACAAGTCGGATGGTAGCTACCAACCAACAGTAAAGCATCTTTTTATATTAGACAGGTGCGAAAGGTATGTCAAACAAACTCAGATTTTTGTTCCATGCCCTTAGAAAACCTTCTGCGTTTTTTCACTAACAAAATATCGACTCCTTAACTAAGTCAACTGAGAATGAACCCATCACTGCAAATTTAGAGGTACCTATAAGTATATCTAACAATATGTCTGCAACAAAGTAAGACATGAACGGTGACACCATACATATCAACCGAACATCACTGGTGGTTGTTCTATATTCAAATGATGACTCTTCTCAAGACCTTATATGACAGAATGAGTTCCCCTCGAAAGCTTTGACCGGCACTAAATACTGGTTCGGTACTCCATTCACAATCATTTACTACCACAACACCTCTTAGTCGACAGAATCGGGCGCTGACACCAACCTAAGAGATATAGAAAGTGTCAACCAACAGTAGGCAGGCCTACGTTCAATAACCTGTCGGAGGGTGAAGAACTGCACTATCATCCATGTTTTAAACCCATAAGGTTTCCTCCACTTCACTGTTCTCGAGCTTCCGTTGGCGTCAGACAACCATGAACTCCACGATCTCGGACACAGTATTAGAAAAACTGACTACCTTATGGCCGTCACAAGAACACTTCTCTCCCTTCTTACAAACCACAGTGATCAGTGAAGTACGCCAGTCTGATAGGGATATCTCGGATCCCAACACATACTGCCTGCTACATCCATTACTTTACTCAGGAATTTCCTACTTCCTTCTTTCCTTAAAACTTCGAGTTATAAACCATCAAGTCCTTATACTTTGCGTCGTTTCAGGTTTGAAACAGCACTCTCAACTTTGAGGGCAGACATCCACGTTAGATTCAGGTTCAGGCTGGATGCTGGGTCCATTGAACTGTTTTTCAGTGTCCTGCCCAACGTTCTAGCCCTGAGAGTTTATCAGCATCTCATACTTTTCAGTGAGGGTCTCACTCACCATCGTCTTCTTACCAGTATCCTTAATAAGCTTAAATAATCACCGGATATCACCTGATGCTGATGTATCCTCCATCTCTCTCGCTCTCGCTACCCACCACTACTCGCGACCATTGCGAAGGCTTCTGTTCACTTCATGTTTCAGCTGCATTCGCACCTCACTATGGATAGACCCAGCTGGGATGAGTCTACTCTCGTCAATCAACTTGCATTGCATAACGGAAATCCACAGTGTTTTGCTAAACGTCACCACTGTCTCTGCAACAGATTGCATATCACGTCAGGTTTATTACGTAGTGCCAATATCCTCCCCATCTCTCCCGCTTTCGCCACCCATGATAGCTCAAGATCATTTCAAAGACTCTGAGTCAGTTCACGTCTCGGCCGCTTTCGCTCTTCACTACGGCCAGAGCCAGCTGGAATGAATATTCTCGCTTCAACCAGTTGTGATGAGGTTCCAGAAATCCACTAACTTTTAGACATAGATCATTAAATATCGTTACCGCTGTCTCCGCAGCAGACTGAATATCACCCCAACCTCCATCAGGATGAGATGTTCTGCCAAGTTCAGACAAATTATAATCTGTCTCCTTCCTTAATATGCACCTTTTGTCATCTATCGATTCTCTCCAAAGATGGCTCACAGCAATATGACCTGTGTCCATGGTTAATTTGATGTCGCTGGATGCCAACTGAGATAGTGTCTTTTCATTTGCTAGTTCTGGTTAAGAACAAGTGTTTGTTAGAGCGAAAGTGCAAAAGACAGATACCATTTCCGGTTTTTCAAATAGCATATCATTGTCCAACGTGGCATAGGGTTTGTATGTTGAAAGCTCTACTGTAAGATTGTTAGTGTGGTTATAAAAGACTAGGAATGATGTTTGGTTGACTTGGATCGACAGCAATGGTCGCATGACGAGAAGTTGAGGTGTGAGGCTTACTATTGGTTTTAGGAAGAGGTGTAAGGGAGGCAAAAGCGGCAGAGGTAGGTTATTGCTAGCTGGGTTTATATTATTCAAGGATCGTGGGGTGGTTGGTACATTCCAGTTACCCATACCGCGGGAGTTATTTCTGTAGGGTACTTGAGACAGAAAAAGGAATAGTTTTTCGGTGACCGTAGAGCTCATGGGACATTTGTCTCAAGCCTGTCACACGCAACTCTCTTAAGGATTGTTGGTTCGAGTTGTTTTAACCTCAGATGAAGAAATCTATATCGCCGGCACCAGAATACCACAGGGGGGAGGAAGGACCTTGCTAGTTTCTGGCATTTTCTCCAACCTTACTTCCCCTTCCGATAGGGAAAGCAGCATCAGCGTGGTGCAGCTGGTAATCTACAGGAAACACCTTACCGTTTTCACTCCCAGTCCAACTAGCAATACGACTTCGCCCTCGGATCCCCATCGTAACGTAATTATTTACATTATGACGGTAGCTGCTCTTCCCAACAATATCTAACACACCTATCCGGTGTGATAGGATCTTAAACAATTCAGGCAGCGTGGCTTGTCGGATCTTAGTGATATGCAAGCCTATCAACTGCGTCAAGGTAGTAGTGCAACCATCAACATGATGAAGAGTTCATAACCTCTTCTGATGCCCGATGACACTAAACAATAAAATGCACGTCTATGCCCCAAAGCTTCATGCCATATTTCATCTACGAAAACCCATTACACCAACCTACTCACCATAACGAAATATGAAACCCAGTATAGAAAATGATGAAAATGATGACCACGTGTTAGTTTTCTGACTGTGTAGAGAGTAGAAACAGTTGTAAAGCTATTTTAAGTAAGATCAATGCATATTTATGTAAACTTACAAGCATAAGGCTTTTCATAACATAAGAATTCGTAATCGTGAAGATTCGATTCTACATGCATTGAGGCAAAAATATCGATTTGCATAGTACAAATCTAGATACTCACATAATCCCGTGTGCTTAAATCCAATAAATAACTTAGACAATGCAAAAACAAAACAAACCTTTAAATAATTACGAACCACTTGAAGGGGATAAGTACTTCTTCATCTTGAGTTAAATAGCAACCAGGCGTAAGCATTCCATTTACGACACACGAAATGGATTGAATGGAATTCGAAATAACTTTATCACAGTTATGATTAGATCTAAACTAGCATTTTAGTTTATGAATTTCACTACCTGTCGTCCGTGTTTCCAGTTGCTTGGTCGTAATCGGATTCATGGCTAAATTTTAGGCGATGATTTTAAGCGTGCATATACCTGCTGGATTTAGAAAGATATGCAATATTTGGATGCTTCCACAGTAGGATAAAGGCTCCTAAAAAAGTCAAAAGCCGAGGAGACGAAAGAAACATAGACACCTCAACCGCATGGGAAGTCAGGGAAAAAATCAACTAACAGGAGTAGGATGTAAGTGGTTGGCGTAAATCATATTCGTTCTGGTAAGTTGACTGGGTGGGTTCGGTTGATATTACATGTAGATTATAACTTCCAGTTGACTGTGATCACATGCTACGACGAATATTTACCCTATATAAAGAGAAAGAATGGAAAAATGAAGTCAAGTAAATGAGTCATATGGTTTAGAGCAATAGGTCATCCAAGTGCTACAGTTTTTGGTCCCATCTCCTTCAGCAATATACCATCAATATAGTATGAGAGATTCAAAATATTGGATGAGTTATATTTGCATGCAACAAAAGATATATGTTCCGCACTAGCAATACAGTTATGAGGTCACTAAATGTTTATGGGAACGATGCTATTCGTATTTTGATAACAAACAAAGGGATTTAGAGAACAACATGTACAGTAAAAACTATTAATTAACAAAATTTTGAATGAATAATCCTTATTAAGACATAAAACAAAGACTTCCGTAAAGAAAAAACTTTCTTTGCGATGACCTTATTTTTAAAAATAGCCTCTAAATCACTTGACATTATTTACAAGATCAAATCAAACTTGCCGAAAGGCACACGCATACACCCACTTGGTATTGCAAAGGCCTTGTCGACAAACAATCCTAAACCAGAAATAAGCGTGCAGAGACACTTTGGACGGTCCTTTTGCCCACCCTGGACCTGGCTTATCATTTTGACTACATATTTTATACAACCGGGTCTTCCTTAATTTTATTCTATTTCACTTCATTTTATTTCGTCATGATAACTCCACGCCTTTTGTTCTCGATCATACCACATTTTGTTTGACTGATAGTCACATTTGTTGTTTCACCTAATCTTCATTCAACTACCTTTACATGAAATCACACCATATTCATTCACTCATTCGCCTCCTATTTTGCGCCTCTGGCCTTTAATCTTCTTTCTTTTTCTGATTGATTTGATAAATCATTAAATATCATTCTCACTCACATTAATGCACTTCACATACTGTAGAAGTGAGACATACATATAAATATCTGTTATTACCTACCTCGACAAATATACAATTGCAATTCAACAGCTTTTAAAAATGAAATCATCACAAAGAAATTTCCACTGAAATCTTTGATATATATGACGGTGACACTGAAAAACTGAATCTAGATTTAGCCCATTACATCTAATTACTTTGTACGTTAGTGAATATCAGAAGACTAATTACATTACAGGCGTTTTTTATAAACTAATGTATTCATCACTGACCTAATGACTTGATGTTTGCTTATTTAACGACTGGAAGTTTGGTTTCCTTCCTGTCTATTTTGAAGATTGCGGTTTTGTTAACTTTATCCAGCACCCATAGCCTCAAATTGTCTCCCGTCTACATACTATTTGACAAAAGGCGGGTGGATAGTTCTCGTAACACTAAGAATTGAGAATTTTTAGGAAATCGAATGATTAAATTAGTCAGATACGCGCAAACGAATATGGCTTAAACAAATCCTGAATAAGTATTTCACTATTTAAACAAAGTAGGGCATATCCCAGACGTTACAGAGTTACTTTCACCATAAATCTGGACGCTGTCTTAGTATCTTCGTCAAATAATTTGAAGTTTATACGACGAATGATCCGTGTCTCGAACTGATCGCCTTTAGTCTTCGTCCTGATGCTAAGCAGAGTCTGAGAATCTGTAATACATCCCCTAACTAGCGCAATCAAACAATCTCATAATTCTGTTTAATGGTTTATCTTCCTCACCTAGAGTTTCCTGTCTAATTTCAACCCATTCTGTGATTCACCCGCAAGCGAGTGGTGCTGTGAAGAGACTTACTGTCAGTAAGACAGTAAGCAACTGTGCTGTGCTTTTTTGATAGGCAGCCAGATATTTTGTTTCACACTAGTTTCTTTTAACGTGTTGATGATAGTCTTGGAGTCCATGGTAAACTAAAAGTTACAACTAATTTGTTTAGGATTTATTTCCTGTTCATCACCATTAAAACCAAAACTACTTTTAAGAAGGCTGTCAGACTCTTAGACATCAGTATTCAGTAGTAAAGACAGTTATCCTATCTAAATTCCTGCATTAAATATCTCTGTAAAGATCTGATTTCTTCTTGACCGCGTGTACTGAAGGAGCTGATACCACGAGCTGATGTGACTTCTAGTCGTTGATTACTCGAGGGAAGAAACAAAGGTTAACCCTAAGTTGATTCTATCGTGGTCTTGACTTCCTTGAGATAGTTTCCAAAATAATCAATCCTAGTGGGAGAGAAAAGATAAGACATGGATACCGAAGTCATTTATTAAAAATACAAAATCCCAGCATGTTACCTCTTTTCTTATGGTAAGACGCAATAAATTAAGTTGATCTAATCGTTTCTTATGGGGGAGGTTGGAAATGCCAGTCCTCTGAACCCACTCAATCGCATCAGTATACTTTTTAAGGCATGGAGTGGTTGCCTAGAAGCAGTATTCCAAGTGAGGTCTAGCGTATGTAGAACATACTTCCAACTTCGTGTTGCAGAAATAGCAAACAATGGTTCCTTGGGCTTTATGTCTGTCTCAGTGGAATACGTTCTTTGTTAAGAATAGTGGTTTGTTTTCACAGTTCAAAGAAACTTGAAAGAACAGAGATAATGAATTAATCAGCTTCCAATAGGTAGTGCTGCTACCAGTGATTTCAAAGACGACGGGAGGACAACTCATCTTTATTACAGGACTCTGAGTTTGCATCTTATATCCTTTTGAAAGCGTAACGAGGAGCTGTGACAACCTCTTCAAAGAGGGACTTATACAGTTTATATACTGTAACTCCAAACGAGTTAGCAAGGACCATCGTATGTGCTTTCTCATGCTCTATTCTTAAAGGATTGCCTCTTAAGTGGGATTTCTGACTAAAGCTTAAAAGTAACAGTCTAGGATGAAGAGAATCATAAGCGATATGACACACTATGATCATATTCCCTCTGATCCGCACGCAGCTTAAGAGCAACTGAGCAGTCGAGACAGGGCATGTACCACAGCTCATTCGGTTCCTTCGTGGCTCTTCTTTGAACCCGTTCTGGGTTGGATATGTCCTTCTTCGAATATGGGGATATAACTAGAGAATTTTTCTCCAGATGAGGATGAATATAAAATCCATACACTGTTGTGAATAGGCTCAAAGTTAGACTCCCTAGAGTTCGAGAGAGAAACTTCAGAACTCCATATGCCTTGTTGGCTGCAAGGTGACAATGGACAAAAACTCCAGGTACGCCACTAAGGGTGATCTCTAGATCTTTTTCAGTGTTTGAACGCGAGATATTTATTTTCCCTAGGGAGTATGAACTAGAATAACACCTATATTTCTCTACAATTGTTATACCACACTTGTCCGTGTTGACAAAAAAAGGTTTCTACTTGTCCAATTTGAGTACAGTAAGGTCTTCCTACAAGACCTAAATAACCGTCAGTCCCTGTATCCCCCTCCCAATCTTGAGATCATCAGCAAATAGTAACAACTGAGAAGTTACGCTTACCGGAAAGTCATTTATAAAAGCAGAAAATAGTAGTGAATCAAGAATGGTAAACTGATACATCACACAGTACCACAAACCGAAGGGAAACATACTCAACTACTCTGTGCACACTCGGGCAGTAGGCAATGGGCCCCATCTATTGTGTGAGGGCTAGTGATACTACCCGGCTGCTTCAACCTCGGCAGGTGGGGCGGGGCTCGAACCCGTGACCCAATGGCTCATAGTCATCTCCCTAAACCACTGAGCCACACCACTATCACATACCAGTTACAAGAAGGAGGCAACTCTAACTGGTTGTAACCGACTGTTAATGTAATTCCTAAATCAACAAAGTAACTTCCTGTGTATCCCCATAAGGTGAAGTTTCTTTGTGCTTCGTTGAGAAATCAAAGGAGTGTTCTTATTAATCGTTTGAAGTATTTTGTTCATCAACAGTTCCCATCTGGTGTCCAGACCATCACTATAGCCGCTACCTTGACGTGGTGGTCGGGCTCATATATCACAATGACCCAAAGAGTTAAATTGGCTGGAATGGTGGGTGGTCGGCCTGAAGCAGATGTCTCGTAGGCTCTATGGTCACGAACTAACACTTCTTTTTCAGGTACCCCAAGAAGAAGTAACCTTCAGCGGTGTGGGCACCTGGGAAGTATCAGCCGTCTGCACGCTTCCAGCAGTAACCAAGACCCAATCAAGCATAGCTTATCCTCCACAACTGTCTCCTCCTATGCCTTCATCTCCTGGTACCAATATTAGGCATATTGAGCCTTACTCAACTCCTCACTCTCCAACTATTGCCAACAATCAAAGCTACCGAAACCTCATCCCTAGTCTCCCAAGACACCACCATCGATTTCAAGTAGGAGCTTCCGGTGTCTAAACTGTATGTCAAATCGAACACTAAACATCACCCACCAGAACTCTGGAATCTCTAGCCATGGGTATATGTTGTGACTTTGAGACACCAGTGTGGTCATTACATTGACCTCGTCTGACTACTGCAATGAATCTTCTAAACCCACCTTACGAGTATCCGGAGAGCCAGTGGCTAACTGTCGTGGACTCGCTGGCGAAGGCACAGTATGGAGTTATAGAGCAGAAAATGTGCATCTTGACTGGATACCCGTCAACAGCCGTCTAAGTGCTGTTCGACTGAACGGGTCTGTAAAAACTAGGAAACATCGTCGCACCAACTGATGCCTATTCGTATTCTTCGTCTACGCACCCACCAACGGCAGTTTGGATGATACAAAGGATAAATTCTACCAGCTGTCAATTTAACTACAGAAAGCAAAAAGTTCAGATGTAATCATAATGCCAGATGAATTTAACGCTGAAGTAGGGAAGCTGAGCCAATCGGAAAGGCTTGGGAGTATTTAAGGAATCCCATGCCAACTAACCGACGAGTGGTCATCTGTTGCAATTTTGTTTCAACCATCACTTGTTTCTGGTCAGTACAAACTTCAAGTATAAGGAAGGACAGTCTTACATGACCTACCCTGACACCAAACAAACGATGGAAAAAGATAGATCATATTGTTATTAGCTATCGTTGGAAAGGATTCCCGCTTTTTCTGCAAAACCTGTTGAACTCAGATCATGTTTGTTACAGGGTCGTGTATAT